TGGTCCTGTCTATAATTTCAGTTGCTTTGGTCCTTTTGGGGCTTCACTAATAGTTCAGTTGGTAAAGAATCCACCTGCAATGCAGGAGGCCCTGATCAATTCCTCAGTCAGGAAGATCCCCTGGAGAAGGGATAGGCTACCCACTCCAGTATTCTTGGGCTTCCCTTGTGGCTTATCTGGCAAAGAATCTGCCTGCAATGCAGGGGACCTGGGTTCAACCTCTGGGTTGGGAAGATCCCCTGAAGAAGGGAAACGCTACCCACTCCAGTATTCTGGCCTGGAGGATTCCATGGACTGTATAGTCCATGGGGTCACAAAGAGTCAGACATGACTGAGTGACTTTAACATGCTCCTTTTTATATAGCTCCTTACAGTGGAGAATGCTGTTCTTAAATAGCACACACTTGGTACTAGAAATCAACCTGACATTTTCTTTTACCAGTTAAACATTTTTAATTTCCATCTGTGAGCCAGAAATTAGAAGACAGTTTACATAAAGAGATGAATGTGACTTGGTAACTTCCCTCAGGTACCTTCTAGAATAATAGACATATAAACAGAAAGTCCAGAAAAATACATGAGAGGTGCCATAATAGGAGTATATACACAAGGGGGTGTATACACACAAGGCATTGTATATACACAAGGGGGTGTATACACACAACATACAAGAGCATCCCAGGGGTCATTTTTACAAGGAACAAATCAAGGATGAGGAAGTGCACTTCCAATAGCACTAGTTAAAACTTAGGACTATAAGTCAGTGGTTAGAGTTCATTTTAAATACACTAGCACATCTCATTATTTAAAAGAATTCTAGCTGCTGCTATAACAAAGATACCCCCCAAATACACAAGGCCTCAAACAAGATAGGAGGTAAAAGCTACTTTCTCTGATGTAACAGGTAAAGGAAGATATATGAGGAGGAAAGCTCCTCTCTATGAATTATTTCCCCCAGGGTGACAGCTCTTCTGCCATCTTCAAGGTGTCATGAAGATGTGGTCATCCAAGGCTACACTTACGGCCATCATCTGCTAAGCAGGAAGCAGAAAAAGACTGCAGATTCACAACCAGAAATGTTATCTTTTGAAAGTCATCTTGGAGCCCTTGTTTTGCCTGATGCGATAAAAGGGGGGAAAAACACTTCATCTGAACACTTCTTGCAAACTCAGTCAAATCAAACTATTTCTCAGTTCCCCCAGGCTTACCACTTGGCCACATTTGTCAGCCTTCATCTTCTCATGCCCTCTGTGGTTGGCGCTAAACTTGGGGCTCTTAGCAGCATATCCCTGCAGGGGATGGAGATCAAGTATTCATTTCTGTCCAGAATCATTTCTCTCCTGTGTTTCCTCTTGCCCAGGACGAGCATCCTTGTCCTGTGGGGTTCTCAGCAGGAATGGGGCAGTTGGTGATTGGACTATCTCTGGTCCAAGGTGTTCTTCCAGCCCATAGCCACCTTTCCCACTGTTGAGCTCCCTTGAGATGCAGGCACACCCTCTCATTAACCCAGGTGGACATAGTCCAATGCCTGCCATTCCAATGAATCCCAATCAACTGGCCAACGAATCCTTCTGCAGCCTCAGGTCCTTAGCCTGGGCCATGTTTTCTCCTGAACCAGGTCTTCCTCTTCCTCCTCCCCTAACTCCTCTCCTCCGCCTCCTTTTTCTCCTTCTCTTCCCTCTCCTCCCCCTTCTATTCTTCCCCTCCTCCTCCTCCTCCTCCATCTCTTCTCTCTCATCACCCCCCTTCCTTTTCTTCCTTCTTCCCCTGTTGAATCATCACGCATCCTCTCTTCAGCTCATGGGCCACCCTGACAGCCAGGCTGGTCCACACCGGCTTTGTTTCTTCCGTCCTCACTGGCGGGCTTGGTACATAATGCCATCATTCTGTTTGCAAAAAAATCAAGTTCTGCCCAAAGATTTCCACCTCAGTTACAATGAATTACTATAACCTTTTCTCTCTTGTTCACCTGTTTTCATGCCAGTGATACTTCCACTTTTGTTTCACTTACAAAGCTCTTGGCAACTCATATACTTTACTAACACCCCATGGGCTGCAGTACTGTCCAAGGCAACTCACTTCTCTTTTGGAAAAACTCTATATGAGTCTCGCACTTCTGTGTTCAGTGCAGCTGAGACACATTCCCCATCTCCCAAATACTGCGTCATGCCTTTCTCTCTTTTCACCTCTTTATTCCTTCTTATTGGCTTACACAAAGGTTCAAATGGGGGTTATACATGACCTGCTCCAAGACTGCTCAGCTGCTACTTAAAAAGCATCACTATTCCGGGATGTCTCCCAGGGTCCAGTAGTTAAGACTGCCTTCCATCTCAAGGGGTGCAGGCTTGATCCCTGGCCAGGAAACTAAGATCCCACATACTGCACGATGCAGCCAAAACTTAAATAAATAATTGTGTTTTAAAAAGCATCACTATCCTAAATCTTTGCATGTCAAGAAAACTTTAGAAGCTTGCAACATCTTTTGAATGAATTGTTAATAAGTAATTGTGAATCATCATATGCTGAGCTAATACTGGGGATTTTCCATGCCCACACAAACACACACACAACTAAAAGTTTCAAAATAAAAGCTATTTTCTATGTGTCACTCACATAAGAACAAATCCATTGTCTCGTTTTTCCCTTTTCACTTAGAGCATATCACTGTGTACCATTTTCTCACACCAGAAAAGTATATCTACAACTCGTGCACGTTTTTGGCCACGCGTAGCCATTTGTATTCCTCTCAAATCAGTTCTCGGCAAAGCTGAAGGACTCATCATTTTACAAACACCAAACCATCTTTCCATCCAACAGGAAGGTATATAATAGCTAGGATTCTAAGGAGGAAAAAGTAAGTTATAGGGGACCTTTCCTGGTTTGTTTCAAATATGGCAAGATTCTCCTCTGTTGATATTGGGAAGAATGGAAGGGAGGGAAAGGACTGAGCGCAGAGTTTTAGGTGAGACAGTGAGATGATGGTGAGGAGGGAATATTGTCGGAATCACGGAGAGCAGGGTTAGAGGGCGAGGACTCGGGGTCACAGGGCACAGGTGAGACCTGCGGGCAGTTGTTTAACATCCTTGTGTCTAGCTCTCCTCATCTATAAAATAAGAATAGTAGTGTCATTCTCCCAGGAGTTTGGGGATTAGAAGAGACCACAAATGGACAAGCCAGCATCTGGGGTCTAGAATGAGGTGGTTCTGGGGAAGAGGTCATCTTTGGACCTGAGTTTAGCCTGCCTGAGTTCCAAAAATATCCACCCTGGTCTCTCAAAAGGCCTAGAATATCTCCCCAGCATTAAAATACATTGTTGATGTTTATCTTACCATATGGACACATGGACTCCATGCTCTGATTTCCATTTTCCTTAGTTTTAGGGAAGAACCCAACAGTGAATGGGCTACATAAGCTCAGGTGTCTAGTCTACTCCTGGACCTGGAAATCAGAAGACTTAGCAATAGTGGAGGAGTAGATGAAAATCATGCCTCAGCACGTTAGATTGCAAATGAAATTTCCCATGAACATGATGGAGAGTTTGAACTGGCTTCATGAAGCTCCTTTCCATGGGAGGGATATCCTATCCTGACAGCTAAATTTCAAGAAGCAGTTTCCAAACCTCGAAAATTTTTTTTTCCATGTCTAAGACTTTCTGACCATCCATTCCTCTGCTTCCTGAAACTGGGGTTATGAAATAGTTCATTGCAGTCAAGAGATGCTGTCGTGAATTCCCTCTGCTCCCCCACCCCACCTTCTAGAGTCTGAACCACAGTGTGGGGTCAGGAGAAAGTGAACAGTCCAAGTTGATGGGGATAAGAAACTATGTGAATGTGACTTCTCTAACGTAGGACAGGATGAAGTTGTGTGTTTTTTTAATCTCATATTTCATGCAGGGCTGGGCTGAGGATGTGGCAGGCATGGCATATGCCCTACGTTCACTGCCAGAGGGGGCTCCCTGCCTGCCACAGGTGAGAGCCAGCTCTGGGGTGCCTGTCCCAACGGGGAAAGGGGGGGCGGGGCCCGGTGGGGAGGGTGGGGACTCTGTCCACCTTCGGAGGTCCCTAGGAGAACTCTGCCACAGAATCCAAAACCTCGTGTTATGAATTTCATTTTCTTAGCTCATAAATGAAATTGCAATGGATTAAACCCTTATACTGGTTGATTTTTGTGGCACATGCTCTTCTCTGGAACACGGTACAAAAGTATAAAGTGTGTATACTCAAATGTCTAGAAAACCTGAGCCTACACGTATTTGGTTCAATGAATCAAAATGCTTTATTGTCCTGATATGACAAATACATTTCTATAAAAAGCCTTAGATGTGTTCTACTAAGGCCAACCACCACTAACCCAAAACAAATTGTATGCTTACCTTATAAATTAGACATTGAATTATGGCCCTGGATATAATATATTTCAATTTTTTAAATTTTATTATTTTCACTCTTCATCTTTGATGTCATATGTATCTCTCCTCGGCTGTACCGTTTTCCGATTTATTTCCTCCTAATTATTCAGCAAACAACTTAATTGACAGTAATTTCTGTAAGATCTCTCTGCCCCACTTCCAAATTCAAGTTTTTTTTTTTAAATCACCCATATGCAACCTTTTATCATTTTCTACTTTTTCCAGGATTTCTTTTCCTCTTCATGTCAGTAACCAGCCCTTCCTGTCCCAAACCTCCATTATCTTAAAGCATCAGGTATAAAGACACCACACAAATATCTTTTTAACTCTTGGACTGAGAAAGCTGGCACCATAGAAATGAAGTGTGATGAACTGATTAACGCTGAACCCTCCATCCTAAGTTGGAGGCAAAAATAAAGTTAAAACCTTTAAATACATGTCTGATAGGCTCAACCTATTCTACAAGGAGGTGTTGATAATTCAACCTTTTGGTCACCTATGGAGGACAGTCCGAAACACCCACAGGCGCTGTTTGCTTGGAGGGTTTCCACCCACCCCAGCTCCTAACTCCTTGGCCTCCCCTCATTTGCAGTGGTCGGTATATATCCGAGCTGCTGTCCGGAAAGAGAAAGGCCTGCCCATCCTCGTGGAGCTGCTGCGGATCGACAATGACCGTGTGGTGTGCGCAGTGGCCACCGCGCTCCGGAACATGGCCTTGGACGTCAGGAATAAGGAGCTCATTGGTATGTTCCCTCCGATTCACCGCGTCTCCATCTTTTTTTTTTAATTGAAGTATAATGCATTTCCTGTGTTTGAACCCACATGCAAAGCATATATGTGCGTGCAGAAACAGAGCATGGAAATCAATGCTCTAATTTGTCTTTTAGAATTTAGAGGAAAATGTGAGTCTTGTTGACATTCCTAATCCTTGCAAATTAAAAACGACTGCAGTGCTGAGCACTGGATACCATGTCCTGATCCTCTAAATCCTTGCCAGGCTGTTTGTTTGCTTTCCATGTTGTGAACTGGAATTCTAATGAGATGCAGGCCTCTTCTTCTCCTCTCTGTGTTAAAATTTATTTTGCACTAGACCAGATTGGCTCTCCAGTCCTATTTTTCAAGAATCATTTCCCTTTATTTTTGTATTCAAGAAAGGGAAGATCCTTCATTAATGAAGCATTAAAGAGGTCATCCATAAATCTATCAATTCAACAAGTGTTTGTCCATGACCTATTTTGTTCTAGGCCTGTTCTATGCCTAGTGTTCATGAGTGCTCAGTTGCTTCAGTCGTGTCCAACTCTTTGTGACTGTATGGACTGTAGCCTGTAGACAGGCTCCTCTGTCCATGGGATTCTCCTGGCAAGAATACTGGAGTAGATTGCCATTCCCTCCTCCAGGGGATCTTCCCAACCCAGGAATCGAACATAGGTCTCCTGCCTTGCAGGGAATTCTTTACTGCTGAGCTTCAGGGGAAGCCCTCTAGGCCTAGAGATGATATCAAAGCAGAGAGAAGGTCTTGCCCTTGTGGAGTTTACATTCTGGACAGGGGCGACCAACAAAAGACCCACATGAATCCCACGGTGTGATTGAAACATTCTGTGGGGGAAAGTGGTGCTGGGTCAGGCACGCTGTCATTGGTGAAGTTGCAGTCTTTTTAAATTGAAGTGAAATTTACATAACATAAAATTAATCGCTTTAAAATGTACCTTTTGGATGGCATTTAGTATTTATGCAGTGTTGTGCAACCACCACCTGTGTCAAGTTCCAAAACATTTTTGTGACCCTGAAGAAAACCCTGTGTGTGCTAAGTCGCTTCAGTCATCTCCAACTCTTTGCGACCCTGTGGACTTATAGCCCACCAGGCTCCTCTGTCCATGGGATTCTCCAGGCAAGAATTCTGGAGTGGGTTGCCATGCCCTCCTCCAGGGGAGCTTCCTGGAGCTCCACGATTGAACACATGCCTCTTTTGTCTCCTGCATTGGCAGGTGGGTGCTTTCCCACTAGTGCCACCTGGGAAGCCCCCAAACCCTGTTCCCATTAAGTAGCCACACCCTATTTCCCCCTCCCCCACCGGCCCCTGGCAGCCAGCAGTCTGCTTTTTGTTTCTGTGGATTTTCTTATTCTGGATATTTCAAGTAAGTGGAACCATGTAAGATGTGAGCTTTTGTATCCGGCTTCTTTCGTTTAACATCAGGATTATGGCTGTGAGAGGTCAAAGCCAGGGTGAAAGCTGCTGCGAAGCTACCCTTTGAGCAAGGACTTGAAGCTGATGAGATGGGGCCCTGTGGGGCTTTCAGGGGAAGACTATCTGAGCTGGAGGAGCGGCCTCTGCAGATAGCCCTCCAGAAGGGGGTCTGGGAGCAGGCTGATGGTGGGTTCAAGGTCTCTGGGGGCCTGATGTGCCTGGTGCATAGTGGGTGATGGGAGTCCAGGTTGTCCAAGAGATGCTCTGGTTCCTCCTCCTGTAACTGGGAGGATGCTCAGGCCAAGGTTGATTGATGCCTGGAGAACTGATGAGCCACCGGGCCCTGCCCGAGGAGAGGCACGGCTTCCCCATGGACCATTGACCCCCTGGGGTGAAAGAGCTGACTCCAGTAGGGTGGGTGATCAATGCAGCATGAAGCCTGGCAAGTCTGACCACAGGTAATAGGTATCAGCGAGGATCAGACAGCAGGGAGCTGGACCACGTGTCATGGCAAAGGTTCTGATTATGCGACCTCAGGAGGTCTGGGGAAAGCAGGTGAGAGTGAGTGCAGAGGGAAGACTCCATTCCTGGGGCAGTTGGAATACCAGGCATGGGTTCAAATTTCATACACAGATTATGCATAGAGACAATGGTCTATTTCCTCTCTCCAGATTCCTGAGGGTGACATACTAGGCCCTTCATGATCTGGGAACCAGCCACTTTCTACCCCACAATTCCTATCATATCCTCCAATAAACATCAAGTGTTTGCAGGTCTCTTTTGGTTTAGTGGCTAAGTCGTGTCTGACTCTTTTGTGACCCCGTGGGCTGTAGGTCGCCAGATTTCTCTGTCCATGGGATTTCCTAGGCAAGAGTACTGGAGTGGGTTGCTATTTCATTCTCCAGGGGACCCTCCTGACCCAAGGATCGAACCTGGTCTCCTGCACTGTAGGCAGATTCTTTACCGATTGAACGACCAAGGAAGCCCATGAAGGTCCTTTAGCCACTTATTCATTCACGGGGACCAGATTTCAAATCTGTGTCTAATAAATGCAGTTATTTGTTATGCTTGCAGTGCATCATCAGGCATGAAATAAGCTCACAACTTGATATTTATACTAAGTTTGAATTTAAATGCGGATGGTAGGTGTTACATATTTACACCGTTAGCCCTCTGTGTATTTGTTTCCTTTTCCTGACTTGTTTTCAGACAAGAAAGAGCAGTGGCTTCCAATCAAATCCTAGGGCTCCTCTGTAACATGGAGGAAAAATCAATAGCTAATCACTCTGCTACTTGGATACGAACTACTAGGCGTTGTGCATTTGTGTGTTTTATTTCTTTTGGTGGATTAAAATATAACAAAGTAGAGAACTATTGATTGATTTTCTAGCTTCAAGGTGTCTCTTCTCTCCAGGAAGTCAGTTATCTAGAACTGTCTCTGAGGCAGGAACATTTGGAAGTCCATATTGCCCCTGTTAAATTAAGCCTCTCCTATCAAATGTCACCAGACAGGAAAGGGAGCCAGCCGTTTAAAAATAGGAGTGAAAATATCTCAGTCATAGGCTTTAAGGAATCAATATCTTTTCTCCTTGAGTAAGAAAAGCAGAATTGAACAAAACAGCACACTATTCTCTTCTGTCTGGGAGAAAGGAAATGTGACCTTTGCTAACTCTTTTGCTTTAAATATTGTATCAAAGTAATGGGTTTTTATGAGACAATGCTATAGAGAACTTTATCTATTGAAAAGAAAGCTGCAGTGACTTTGAACCAAGAACAAAAACAAAATTGAACTTGGACTTTTCTCTATCAACTCAATCAAAACTTTGGCAGGGGGGTATATGCTAATACTTCAGTCACGTCTGACTCTTTGTGACTCTATGAACTGCAGCCCTCCAGGCTCTTCTGTCCATGGGATTCTCCGGGCAAGAATACTGGAGTGAGTTGCCATGCCCTCCTCCAGGGTCTCTTCCCGACTCAGGGATCAAACCCGCATCTCTTACATCTCCCTGCATTGGCAGGTGGGTTCTTTACCACCTGCGCCACCTGGGAAGACCCAAAGCTTCAGTATTAAAGATAGTCTGAAAATTCCCAGATAGATACCTCTGGCATGAATCTCACATCTCTGCCTGCAATAGCCTGTCCACCACCCGCATGAGAGGTCTGAAAGGCATCTCAAATACAACATCTCCAGGCCTGAGTTCCTCGTCTTCTGTCCCAAGCCCAGTCCTTCTGAAGGCTTCCCTGCGGTGACCTGTCCTTGTAATGGTCCTTTGATTCTGCACGCTCATACCCAATCATCAGCAGGTCTGGCTTCCTTCTGAATTTTCACAGAACCTGACCCTTCTCATCTTCATTGCCTTGTCCCCACCTCCGCCCTGCCTCCTTAAATCTCATCCTCTTTCACCTGGGTTATTACCGTGGCCACTTTCCAGGAGTCCTTGCCCCCAGCCCAGTGCCACCATCTACTCTCAAAGGAGCAGCCAGAGTGGTCCTGTCAAAACCTTCCCTACTGCATGTCTTTTCTCCTTTGAAAACCCTGCATCAGCTCCTCATTTCTCTCAGTGTGAAGGTAAAAGTCGTTGTAAGGCAGACGCGGCTCTGTACGATCCAGCTCTCTGTTTCCTCTCCAGCCCCACCTCCTTCCTCACTGGCCGCTGCTTCACTGTGGTTCCATCCTGACCTAAGCCACGAGCCTGCCTCAGGGCCCTTGAACCTGCGGCTTCCTGCACCCCATCTCTGCTTCCTTTAGATGTCCATGTGGTTATTCCTCAACCCCTCAGGTCTTTACTCAAGTGTTACTTTCCCAAAACAACCTTTTCTAGTGCCTCTTCTTAAAATCCTACCCCCTTTTTTGCTTTATTGATCTTCACAGCACTAATCACCCTCCGACATGGAACATGTTATTTATTTGTTTCTTGTCCATCTCCCTGCACTGGAATGTCAACCTACTAAGAGAAGGAGGTTCCATCTTTTGTGTTTACTGATGTAGATCGTGTACCTAGAACAACACCTGACCCATACCAGGGATTCATCAATATTTGATGAATGAATAACTGAATTATTAATGACTTTTTCCTGTCTGGCCATCATCTTATAGTGAACTGCAAATCAGAAAAACTTTAAGTAAGCAAAAAAAATATTAACTAAAGAAAAAGATTTTATATTATTAAAGAAAATTATCCAAAAATCAGTTCATTATCCTACTAAAGTTTACTAGATGTATACAGACACTCATAATGTCAGAAGGAATCCAGTTGTTTCCATCACGGGGGTCCAGTTTGAATAACATCTCTTCTTAGATTGTTCTTTTAATTAAGGGTGGAGGCAGGGACAGTTACCATAACTCTGGTTAACGAATGGTTCATCTTCCTTGGACTCCATGATAAGAAAAAGTTCAAATAAGCTATTCAATAATTACTTCACCCCATAAGCTCTAATGAGGATCTGACAGAATAAATTCCACTTGATCATGGTATATGATCCTTTTAATGTGTTGTCAGATTCTGTTTGCTAATATTTTGTTGAGGATTTTTGCATCTATGTTCATGAGTGATATTG